ATATTTGAGGAGCAATTGCACTTTTGTCGAAAATAATTTCAATTCATACGTTTTTTGACGCATGTATGAAAATAGGGAACGGGGCCGGGAGAAAGGGAAAATGTCATGGAAACAACTCAAAATGTATTAAATTCGATGATAAACTTCTATCGAGCGATCATCTTATGTTCTTGAACACAATCCATCGAAAAAACATCGCGAGGTTTACTTTTGCTCGTCAAGGGACACTAAGGCAGCGCCATGTCCTGGCCGTGGCAGGGACACATGCACATTTTCAGGCATTCTCAGGCGACATTAAGCACACGGTGTGTAGACCATGTCAGGGACGCAGGCACATTCCCAGGCATTTCTAGGCAGTTTATGGGACACGGTGTGTAGGCCATGTCCAGGACGCGTCTTGGTCGAGCAGGAATGCAGGCTAATTTCCAGGCGCATGAAGGCAGCATGGTGTACAGGCCATGCTAGGGACGCAGGCACATTCCCAGGCATTTCTAGGCAATTTATGGGATACGGTATGCAGGCCATGTCCAGGATACGTCCTGGCCGGGTAGGGATGCAGGTTCATTTTCAGACGCACGAAGGCAGCACGGAGTGCAGGCAATGTTAGGTACGCAGGCATTTCTAGGCAGTTTCTGGGACATGATGTACAGGCCATGCCTAGGACGCATCTTGGTAGTGGTAGGGATGTTGGAAAAATTTCAAGTACACGAACGCAGCATGGTGTATAGGCCATGTTAAGGATGCAGGCACATTTTCAGCCATTTCTAGGCAGTTTTTGGGACACGGTGTGCACGTCATGTCCAAGACGTGTTCGGGCCACGGTAGGGACGCAAGCAGATTTTTAGACAGACGAAGGTAGTACGGTGTGCAGGCCATGTCAGGGACGTAGGCACTTTTCAGACATTTCTAGGTAGTTTCTGGGACATGATGTGCAAGCCATGCCTAGGACATGTCTTGGCCGCGGTAGGGACGGCGACAGATTTTCTGGCACACGAAGGTAGCATGGTGTGTAGGCCATGTCATGCTCCTAAATTCTTTGACTTGTGCACAGAACGTTGTAACTCGTGTTCCTATATTCTTCAACTTAAGAATTTTTCAACAACAAAGCATGTAGTGCATTGTTGTCGATTTTATCCCGCAAGTGGACGGATCGTAACAAGTAGTAAAGTGGACCTTTTGAGTCCGAATTATCGTTCCCATGAGGACTATATTTTAGTACTTAATTTATTATTCCTAACTTCTATTTAATGAAAATAAATAAATAAATAGAAATTGAATGTGATTTTTAAATCTAAATACTAAAAATTTCGTGAATGCAACAGAAAATTAGTGATAATTCAATTAATCAATGGGAATTAGGATGGAACAATTTCACCTATTGATCCCCTTTATTTCTAATATCGAGATTCATAAACTAAAGTAGTGTTCGGTCGAATTCTTCTATTATATTCAACTTACCCCTCTCGAGTTCTCGTTGAGCCTATTTAATTAGTTCAATTCCATATCTCTATGCGAATTAAATTTAATTAAACGAAATAACAGTTCTAAGAATTCCTAGATGACCGCAACAATTAATATATATATCTCTACACATTATATTAATTTACTGAATTTTAATATGTGGTCTAAACAAGAATCCGCATCTCTACATAATTATTGTTCACAAAATTATTGAATAATTTGCCAAATAATTCAAAGCATTAGAAACATAATTAAAATTCACACATAAGATATAAAAGAACAAGAATCCCAAATAGAAGAAATAAAGGTCCCAAATTAGTTACATTATTCGCCCTAAAATAAATTTAGCTAAACATATTAATGAAAGAAAAGCAAGATAAATTCATGGAAGACATTACCCGATTTATTGACGGAACGTGATTAAAGTTTGGAACGTGAATCTCCATCTTCTGCCGTCTTTCTCCTTTTTTGGTTTGTCTTCTGCCTCATTGCCTTTGTCTCCTCTCTGCTCTCAGCTTCGATTTCCATGCATAAAGATGATAATGGCTGCCTACTTTTTTTTTTTTTTTTTTTTTTGTCTCCTGCGTCCCTCTCTTTTTTTTCCGTCTGTACGTGTATAGAAAATTTTTGCTAGCCACAATTGTTAACTCAAGAAAAAGTAATTCCCTCTCTCCTCCCAGCAGCCGCAGAATTGATTCTTCCCTGAAAACTCTTTCCCCTTAATTCCTATTAGTTGGTATGTGTATATATATATAGTATATAAAAAAAACCTAGGGCCACCCTAGTTGACTAAGAAAAGGACTCTCTCTCCTCTTTACTTGGCTTGTACGTGTTTATATACACAAAATAACCTAGCCACAATATGACTTCAAAATGGACTCTAATAATGCCAATTGCCTCTGCCTTTGTTGACTAAAGAAAACTCTAAAAAGACTCCAATTGCCTCTGCTAATTCGTGTCACTTTAATATGAGCACTAATTCATGCATGCATGTAGGGGTCAAATCAACACCAATTGATACCATAATTATTCTTCAAGTCATTCCACTTTTAAGTTAATGCAATGTAGTCCTTGAGTTCCTCCATTGTGCAATCAACGTCCTCTTCAATTTTTCAAGTGTTGAATTTGATCTTCAATATTGCATCCACTAGCCAATTTGTTCTTCATCCTTTTCCATTTGCTCCAAACGAGTCCATCACTAAAAACAAACTAAAATTAACTCAAGTTAAATAGAAATTAATAATTTGACGATATAAAAGCTTAATGAAATGGTCTAAATAAGTGCATAATTTGTACTCATCAAATATCCCCAAACTTAAACTTTTGTTCGTCCTCGAACAAAATCATAAACTAAATAATAACCAACACACAAGCATGCAAAAATATTTGGTTGGGCGGTTTAGCTTTTTACTTCATGATTCAAGATATTAGTGTTTACTCTATAAACATGATTCAAAGTCATAGTACCAAACTAATATCCATTCTTCCAATATAAAAATTGACGTTTGTGTGTGTGTGAAGAATCGAGTAATCAACCATGACTGCACAAGTTGTTTCAATTCCCAACCCTTAATGGTCATATATGTCATTTTATCACTCGTAAGATTCACACACCCCCAAACTTATTTTTTTCATTCTTTCCCAGTGTGTAATCTAAGGCTGAATATTTCATTACTATCCTCACCCTCTCGAGTTTAGGTGAACGTTACTAATTGCAAGTCAACACTTCAGTGAACAAGAATTCTCCAATTATTTGATTGCTTCGACCTTCAAGACTCAACTAGCTAATTATCTTGCATGAAAGGTCAAATTCCCTCAAATAAGTGTTAGGGCTTAACTAAGGTATTTAGTGCTATATATATATATATATATATATATATATATATATTTTATATATTCTCTCCATTAAGCTTTCTAGATGACTCATGTAGCAGGCTTTAGGCCAATGACTCCCAAACCAGATGATTTTAGGGCATCAGGTTTTTAAATACCCTCATCGGCTTACTGACCCGAGTAAAAAAGGCTTCGAAGAGAACAATTTTTTTAAGTGCAGCTTCGTCTCTAATTTATTTCTAAATAATCCATGTAACGAGCTTTAGGCCGATGACTCCCATGTCAAATGACTTTAGGGCATCAGGTTTTAAGATACCCTTATAGAATCAATCACTCGAGTCATAAAGGCTTCAGAGAGAAGTTCAAAATTTTCAAACGTATATCCCTTGATTAGTGCAATGCCCCTTATCACACACTTATTCAAACAAATTGACCTCTAACTTAAGACTTTCGCAGAGTTTTATATGTTAGTCTAGGACAATCCACACATAAATTTTTCACACATGGAATCTACATTCACATCCGTATCTTCCTACAACTATAAAGTCACCCCCAAACTGTGCTAAATTTTATCTAAGGATAGATAAATTATTATGGTTTAGGTAAAGCATCTATGTCCAACTAAATTAACCTATCAAAAGCAGGAAACAACTTATTTAATCATAATGTCAAACTCAATTCTAGTGCGCTTGTAATATCAAATTTTGCAAAGCTGAGCTTCAATTAGTCTAGCATGCATCTTATTCACAGTTCATAAATCAACACTAAATCTCAAATTAAATCATCATTGTCTGTCAGATTGTCTAACCCATACAAGCACACATCTGAACAAAAGAGATTATTATTTTTTTATTTCAATATTTTATTTTTTATTTTTTCAAATAAACACACAAAAATATATCACCCCCAAACTTAAAACTGACACTGTCGTCAATGTCATAAAGCATAAATAAACACATAAAAGGGGTAGGGAAGAAAAAAAGGAAGGTACTCCCCAAATTTTTCTGTTGAATGTGTGAGGCACTATGTGTGACTGCTGGATAATATTCTTCATCATACTTTCTCTTGGATCTATGTTGGTTTGAGTGTTCCACGAAGTCATATTCTTGAAAAATCAAATTTGACTAATGAAATACAGGGAACAAGGGTTACTTAGCTCAAACAATCAAAATAACCAACAATAAATTCAAGGGCCTGAGGGTATAAAAGATATGGGTGATGACTCCTAGAAATTGAAACGTACCTAAATCTAATGCAACCTAGTAAACAAAACAAAACTATATGCTATGCGATACGATAAGCTAAACAAAAAGTTTGAAAATTGGGTTGCCTCCCAATAAGCGCTTCTTTTAAGTCATTAGCTAGACTTTGTGTTGCTATTATTCTGGTACAGCCAGGTTAAGGTTCTCTTTAGCGGTGGGGAAATCTTCCAAGTAGTGCTTGATACGTTGGCCATTTACTTTGATGTTTCCCTTTGTTGGATGGTGTAATTCAATTGTGCCGTAGGGAAACACTTGAGAGACCGTGAAAGGGCCGGACCATCTAGATTTCAATTTTCCTGGGAATAGTTTAAGTCTGGAATTGTATAAAAGCACTTGATCTCCCACTCGAAAAATTCTTTACCTGATGTTCTTGTCATGCCATTGCTTTTTCCTTTCCTTGTAAATGGCTGCATTCTCATATGCTTCTCTTCTGAATTCTTCCAATTCATGTAGCTGTAGTATTCTTGTTTCTCCAGCCTTTTCGAGGTCCATGTTTAACTGCTTCAATGCCCAATATGCTCTATGTTCAAACTCCACTGGTAGGTGGCATGTTTTTCCAAATACTAGTCGATATGGGGACATTCCAATAGGTGTTTTGTAAGCAGTGTGATATGCCCATAAAGCGTCGTCTAATTTCTTTGACCAATCCTTGTGAGATACATTCACAGTGAGCTCCGGAATTCTTTTCAATTGTCTGTTCGATGTCTCCATCTGTTCACTTGTCTGAGGGTGGTAAGGAGTGGCAATTCAATGTTGTACCCCGTACTTATGCAGTACTGCCTGGAATAACCGATTGCGGAAGTGCGTTCCACCATCACTTATTATGGCCCTAGGTGATCCATAGTGGTTAAAGATGTGTTTCTTTATGAAGTCTACCACCACCCTTGCATCATTTGTAGGCAATGCTTTAGCTTCTACCATTTAGAGACATAATCCACTACTACTAGGATGTACCGATTGTTATAAGATGATGGAAAAGGACCCATAAAATCAACTCCCCAAACATCAAATATTTCCACTGCTAAAATGTTGTTTAGTGGCATCTCGTGACGCGCTGATATGTTACCTGTTCTCTGACACTTATCGCATGACTTGTAGAAACTGTGGCAGTCCTTGAATAGTGTAGGCCAAAAGAAATCACATTGAAGCACCTTTGCTACTGTTTTAGTGGGGCCAAAGTGTCCTCCATACACCGAAGCATGAACCCATGAAATGATCAGTTTCATCTCATCCTCTGGTACACATCTCCTAATGATCCCGTCTACCCCTCTCCTATATAAATTTGGATCATCCCAATAATAGAATTTTGCTTCATGAAGCAGCTTCTTTTTCTGCTGATAGGTGAGATCAGGATCCATATAGCCACTAGCTAGGTAATTAACAATGTCTGCATACCACAGAGCCTTTTTTATTTGTAACAACTGTTCATTTGGGAAAACCTCATTAATAACCATGTCATCTGAATCATGAAGTTGCTCTAGCCTTGATAAATGATTCGCTACCTGATTTTCTGTACCCTTTTTGTCGCAAATTTCAATGTCAAACTCTTGCTGTAACAAAACCCATCGAATCAGCCGAGGTTTAGCATCCTTCTTCTCAAACAGATATTTCAAGGTTGCATGGTCAGTGTAGACTATCACTTTTGAACCAATCAGATAGTAACAAAATTTATTGAAGGCGAAGACCATTGCTAGCATCTCTTTCTCCATTGTTGCATAGTTAATCTGAGCATCTATCAAGATTTTGCTTGCATAGTAGATTACATATAATACTTTTCCTTTACGTTGGCCTATCACCGCTCCCACTGCAAACTCACTAGCATCACACATAAGTTCGAAATGTAGATCCCAATCAGGTGCTACTATCACTGGTGCAGAAGTTAACTTTTCTTTCAAAGTATTAAAGGCATTTAAGCATTCATCAAAAAAGTGAAAAGGCACATCCTTCTCCAATAGATTACATAGAGGTTTGATAATTTTTGAGAAATCTTGAATGAACCTTCTGTAAAATCATGCATATCCTAAGAAACTTCTGACCCCCTTAACTGAATTAGGAGGCTACAATTTTTCAATCACTTGTATTTTGGCTTTGTCAACTTCAATGCCCTTTGAGGAAATCCTGTGGCCCAGCACTATCCCCTCTTTTACAATGAAATGACATTTTTCCCAATTTAGCACTAGGTTCTTCTCTTCACATCTTTGCAATACAAGAGCCAACCGATCCAAGCAATCATCAAATGAATCTCCAAACACAGAAAAATCATCCATGAATAGTTCGATGTATTTTTCCACTATGTCAGAAAATATGGCCATCATGCACCTTTGAAAGGTTGCGGGTGCATTGCATAAACCAAAAGGCATCCTTCTAAATGCAGAAGTTCCATAGGGACATGTGAAGGTTGTTTTCTCCTGGTCTTCTGGAGCAATAACTATTTGATTTTACCCAGAATATCCGTCCAGAAAGCAGTAATGAGAATGACC